TTTTCAGAGATTTTTCAAACACTTCAAAACTCAGTCAAATGACCTCTGATTCAGAGTCTATCACTTGTAAAGTGATAAGACATATCTCTGGAGGTAACCCTCCAAATTTGAACCCATTTTGAAGTCTCTAACCCCATAAACTAAATCAAAATTCAAAGGCTGTAAAACCTTCAAATATTTACGGCCTATGTCACTGGACCTGTCACCCAGTAGATCCTGACCTTAGAGTCTTCTCCAAAGCCTCCAATCACTTCTAAACCCTTAATCATGACCCATTGAACATTAAAATGTACTTTGGTGGACCCATTTTGACCCCCAGTTGACCAGGTGTCAAAATGACCAAAGTACCCCTATAGGATTCAAATATCCATTTCAAACCAAACGACCTCCAAATTGTTTGGAACCACTTCCAACAATTTTCAAATATCAAACAATACTTGTTCGACCCAATCACTAGTTGATTTGGTCAACTATGCCCATATTTAGTCAAACTTGGCCCATTTAGGTCTATGTTTAATCCCAATTCAATAAAGCCTGTCAAATTTCCAAGTCCTTTCAATCATATGCTTTGAACTTCTCTGAATCTAATATGAATTAAGTTATGGCCTTTTTGACCAAGTTAACCCATTAACCTTTGGTCAAACCACCTCAAATCATTTCCAAAATATTCAAGCCTTAATTCTTAAGTGTCAAACACTCAAACCCTCTTCAAGTTATTTTAATCAGCTCCTCAACTATTCTTGGCTGCCACCTCAGCATTATTGACCATATTGACTAGTCAAACAGTCAATATAAAGCTTTAAAAGGCTTAGACGGTCAATCTTGCCCTAATGAACATGCCACCTCAAATCCACTTCACTCCAGCAGTTTCAAATAGCTTATAGAGTATTCTTAAGCTAACTTTAATCCTTAGATTAGGATTAGATCAAATCTAAATTATCCCTTGTGCTCAAAGGACGTTTTCACCTTTCCACATAAGTGTACTTTGTCCTTTTTTATTCCTTGCTTCTAAGTGCCCTGGAGACAGATGGCATGCATCAAGGAGGCTTCCAAGTCGATCAGATCCATCCCCTATAGCCAAGATATCTTGAATATGAGGAAAAGGACTAAATTGCTTGATATTCTCACCCTAGCTCTCTCTCTGATCCAGAGCTATTCCAACCCTCAAAGCTCTCCAAAAATCTTCTACAGATATTCCTCTAGCACTTCCAAGCCTTCCTCCACCGAATCCAAGCCTCCAAAGCCCCATTGGTGAAGAGAGAAGAAGGTGGAGAGAGAAAGAAGCTTTTCGAGAATAACTTCTAATCCGACAAGAATCAACTCTCAATGTCTTCTACAATGTTGTAGAGGATTGCAGCAGATTTCCATCAAGCCCAAGAACGTCAAAATCCAACCATTGGTTAGAAAGTTATTTGTGTTTTAATTTCTATGATCAAACCTTGATATCTCCATATCCTCAATGCATGGAGCCTTGAAAATCCATGGATTGCAAGATTAGGATATCTAGATCTTACATTTCAAATTTCATCAAATTGCAACGGTTGGATCGAAAGTTATGGGCATTTGAAGTTTCTAGTTCATTTTGAACTAGAGTGGCTCTGGTTCGATCAGAGCCGTCCGATCGCACGTTCTGCGCGATCGGATGGCCCATAATCGGCCACATCACCAGGTTCAGATTACGCGTCTCCAGCGGGATTCGAACTCGGGTCACTTGAGAAGAGGCGCGTCTACATGGCACGATCGTAGCCGTCAGATCATGCCGCGGTGAATCGGACAGTCGATCTGACCGTCCGACGTGTTTAAGTGGCGCGCCGATGCGCGCCGCATGTCTGCCACCTATCAGAACGCCACCCAATGATTAAAATTGATTAAAAATTAATTTAAAAATCATTTAAAATGCTCAGAACTTTAAAAATTCACAAAAAAAATCCATTTTAGGTCTAAATTTGATGTTCTTGGGTTCATTAGAACCGTTTTGATCCCAAGTTTATTTTAAAATTTATTTTAACTAAATTTGACCACTATATACAGAGTTATTAAGGTGTTAATGAAAATTGAATTTCTTTGATAACTCTGAATAAAGTGATTTGATTGTTCTCAAATTTGGACAGCACACACTATAGTGTGTTACCCATATGCCATAAAATTTCTTAATGCAATTTAATGGCTGGATTTTGGTGAATTAAATTTTCAAAGTTTTTTGGCCAGATTTTGAACCAAAACTTTGAAAATTTATAACTCACACACTACTAAGGACTAGGCTTGCATTTCATTGTGGTATATGTAATATAGTGTCAGGGTTAGATGACCAAAGTTTTAAGCCCAATTGAACACCAGTGTCACCTAGGAAAAATAATTAAGGATAATGTCTAGTCAACTTAGAAAAATCTTAAGAAATTCTACACACACCAATAGGGGTGAAACTTGAGAACATTAAACTTAATGACATTATAAACCTTAGGTTCAAATCTCATCAAATTTGGAGTTCAATAAGTCAGAAAATTAAACCAGTCAAAGTTAACCCCTTAATTAAGCTTTAAAATTGCCAAAACTTCTAATAAATCAAGTTTAAATTCAAAAAATATAAAAAATCCCTCTAACTGACCAGAATTAAACTTTTAATCAATGAAAATTGAAACCAACTCACTTTGACAGCAAATCTGGCTTTAATTTAATTTTAAGTGAAATTCAATATTTAATTAATTTAATTAATTAAAAAATATTAAAAATTCCAAAATTTTCCCAAACACTTGGGAATCTCTTCTTGGGTCATTCCTGGCCTTTGGAGTGGATTTCAAGGAGTTTGGAATTCATTTGGAGCAAAATCAAGAAAAACCCTCTAATTAAGTAATTTTATAAATTCAATAATACAAGGACTTCAAAATTTCATAACAAATTCAAGAAAACTCAAAATTGATCAAACTCAATTGCATTCAACTCATAATTAAGTCTAGTATTTATTAAAAATTTTAAACCTTCAAAAATCAGTTAAAATCAAAAAGTCAACAAAATGGTCAACTTTAAGTCAAAATCTGGTCAAAACTTCAAACCTTCATAACTAAATCCAGAAAAATCCAATATCAGCGTACTTATAGTCCTAACTATTGTTAAGGTCTAGTATTTAATAAAATATTAACTTATAGAAAACTCCTTCAATGAAAAAGTCACTTTGACCCTTAATAATGATAGAATAACTGATTTGAATTAAGACTACATTCTGAATAAGGTTCAAATGCCACGAACGGTGCATGATGAAAGGATTCAATATCGGCCGCACTTCAAACACTCTCCAATTCGCCCATAATCTCACGCTATTTACGGCTTGCCACTCCAAAAAAACTAAAAATAGATGCCTCATTCTACACCAAAGGGACCAAGAAGAAGAGAGAAAGAAGAGGAGAAAGGGAAAAGGAGATTCCTCACCTTCTCGACCACCGCCGGAGCTCTTCCTGCCGCCTGAAGACGCCAGAACTCTGCCGGATTTTCGGGAGAATGCCAGAAATTCCGCCAACTTCTAGGGATGCTGAAATTCTTCCCAATTTACAAGAGAGTTCCCTCCTGACGCCGAACTCGCCCAAGTGAAGCTGGAGTTTCTCCTCTGCCACCAAAGACGTCGGACTTCTACCGACGTCAGACCTCGCTCTCGCCAAGTTCTACCCGACGCCGAACTTCTACCGGTTATTCGGACTTCGTTGGATCGTCTATGCGAAAGATGCATCTTTTCCATTGCTGGACTCTACCTGACTATTGTCCTACTGATCTCGTCGTTAGACTACAGTCATTCCGACCTCCTTCGCCAGCCGACTACGGTCCTCCTGACTTACGTCGCCCGCCGACTACAGTCTTTCCGACATCCGTCGCCCGTTGAATACGGACCTACGGTCCCTCCTAACTTATGTCGCCTGCCGACTATAGTCTTTCCGACCTCCGTCGCCCGCCGACTACGATCCTCCTGACCTCCGTCGCCCGCCGACTACAGTCCTCCGTCGCCATTTGACTACGGTCCTCCTGACCTACGTCGCACGCCGACTGCAGTCCTTCTAACAAAGCGAATACGTCGATAGTAGCTCTTTGTATTTACATAATGTAATGTACTCCATAAGATGTACATCAAGTTAAGACCTTTCACCAAGGAAGGGCCTCATTTGTAATTGACTGCAATACTAGTGGATTCATTCAAACTGGGCTAGGCCCAGTGGTTTTCCCCCTTTTTACAGGGGTTTTCCACGTAAAAATCTTGGTGCCTCATAAATGCTAGACCCTCTCTCATTATCTGATTGCGTGCCGGATTTTCGTACAATGCTAAGACGTTAAATATGATATTTCTCTACCGCCGCGAATACTCCTGGACGCAACAAGAGGTAATGGTTTCACTAAGAAAATATAAAGAAGAATTCTAATAAATGTAAATTCCATGTAAAAAGAAAGTGCACATGTAAAACTCCAACCCTCTCATAAGTTACAATAGATCTCAAGTTTATGATATTTTATTATTTGGGGGATAAACTTAATTGACCCTTTCTTTCTCGTGAATGGACGAAATAAATATATCTTGATGATAATATATCATTTAATAATATCGATTGAAGAAAATGCACTCGCCAGACTATTGCTGAAGTTTTTTCACAACTTCATTCGGGCTGTCATCATCTAAAAATAAAGCATCAAATCGATGGTCATTACTAACAATCATCTATAATTAATAAATTCAAATTTAAATAAAGTATCTTTTATTCATTAAATTTTATTATGTTATTATTTTTTATCTTTTTAAATTATATTTAAATATAATAACAATAATAATAATAAATATTAAAAATAAATGAACTCAAAATCTAAAAAAAAAAAACTAAATAAATAAAATAATTGATTAATTTCAAAACTTTCCCAAAATCAGTTCCACACTGACCCGTTGGAGTAACACTGTCAGCAAATGGTACGTCTCCAGACTCAAGTCAAAGAAAGACGCCGCACCTACTCGTCCATCTTAGGAGACCCAACCCCTCGCCAACCACGACTCCAGCGTCGTGATATCCTATGAAATCAGCCGCTAGCAACCCCCGGCCGCCAGCTCGACCGCCGCCTGAGGGGGCGGCTTCCCTCGATTTCATCAACCGCACGCTCGCTGAGATATGCTCCTACGATGACGACTTCACGTGTGACCCTCCCCGCCGCTTCTTTGCTCTCGTCCGTCGTCTACAACTGCTCTTCCAACAGGTCGCCGCCTTCGCGGACCTCTCGTCCCCGCCGGTCATTACAGCCATCCGCGGAATCGCCGGCGACCTCGAAGCCTCCCGCGCCCCACTCTTCGCCTATGGTCGTCCAAGCCGCATCCTAATCCTTATCAACTGCGAACCCCTCTGCGCCTCCCTCCGCTCCCTTGCTTCTTCCATTTCTTCCTCCCTCAACCTCTTCGATTCCCCTCTCTCTCCCTTCCCGGACCTCCGCAAGAAGGCCGCCGATCTCTCCCGCGATTTTGCCTGCTCGGATATAAGAGTAAAACTCTCGCTATTGACTCCTCTCCTTTTTGTTTTCTTGTTCTCATAGTAGTTTTTGCACAGCTGACGGAGAATGAGGACAGGGTTTACCGGACATTGCAGAAGGAGGCGGAGGTGCGGTCGAGCAGTAAAGCGGTGCAGAGCGCCATCATCATGGACATCGCCCGAGCGCTGGGAATTGACCTCTGCGACCACGGTAAGCTCTCCGAGCATATCCGGCAGCTTAGATCTGTTATTTCATCTGGCTTGAGCTCGGTCACTGAGCGCAAGATCCTGATGTCTCTTGAGAAGATCTTTGATAGTTGGTCGACTGAGACCTGCCTCACGACCGCATCTGTGGACGAGGATTTTGAAGAGAATGCTCAGATCCCTCCCTTCAAGAGCTTCATTTGCCCTCTTACTAAGGAGGTTATGAAGGATCCTGTGGTGCTGGAGTCCTCGCAGAACTATGATCGTTCCGCCATTCTTAAATGGTTTGAGAGGTGCAGGGAGGATGGAAGAGTTCCAACCTGCCCTATGACCGGCCAGGAGCAGGTCTCATTGGAGTTCAAGCGGAATATTGGGCTTGCTGGGGCTATTGAGGAGTGGATTAATCGAAATATTGAAGTGCAGATAAAAGTTGCATTGCAATACCTTGGTGAAGGAGGGCTTAGTTCAGCGGAGAGTGTGGAGAAGGTGTTGGATAGTATATACAGAATCTCGGAGGAGCATCCTGAAAGTAGGTATAGGGTGAGAAATGCTAGTATTGTTAATCTTGTGATTCAAATGCTGAAGGAACAATCGAAGATGATGGGGTCACACTTGCGGTGGAAAGCACTCATGGCATTGCATAGCATGGCAAGGGATGAAGAGAGCAAGGTATGCAGCATAGTAATACTTGTGATCATAGTCTGCATTACTATTTTTTTTTCTTTCAAAATTTCCCTATGCCATCACTCCATTTTAATCACCTCCTTAGAAGCTTCTCATATGATATTGTTACTTATACTTTGCATTAATGTTGGCCCTTCATCTGGTGTTGATGTATTTTCTGCCTGTTTTTATAAGAAAAATCTGAACGTATGAGAACTCACAAACACTTGGTTTGATATCGCGTTCTTGTTCTTCAAATCAGTACATGCTAAATAATGTGATATGATGGTTGAAATTATCCTTCCTTTGGACCATTTATATTATAGTTATTTAGGCTGCGTTTGGTTCTTCCTCTCCTTTTGTAAAAGGTAATTTTAGAAATAATGGTTTAGAGAATGGAGTTTTCAAATGGAGAAGCACACATTAAAAAGCTTATCAAAATAGTAGAAAAATGAAGTTCTCTAAAAAGTATTTCTATAGAAGCGTCCCATCCAAACAGCGAAAAAAAAATAATTTCTCCATTTATAAACAGAAAAGGAAAAAAATAAAATAAAAATGCCGAAACAAAAGAGGCCTTAATCTTTGACTATCCATTATTTGATTTGGAGGAAAGGAGTTTTCAACTCAGTTGCTTTATTAGTCATTTGGAGCAATAAGATTTTCTATTTTCGTTGGTGATTTGAAATTTTGTAATGGTGATTTGCTGTTTGCATTGGTCTGCCTTCACAAGTTCCTTCGGTTGAATTGCTTAAAAACCCATTTTTTTGTTACCGTTCCGTGCTAGAGAAGAGAAATTGCAACATTTTGTAGTTCATCATGTCTTTGACTAACCAGAATGATTTGACTCGCTTGCTTGCTGCATAATTTAGGTAAATGCGTCTCTTGACTATGAGAGCTCTCAAATGTAATTCATAACTTAATTTTTAGACATTACATCCAGTTCTCTGGTCGAAACAGACGGTGAAGAAGTTAGCTTTCACGTTGCATCATCCAAAACCATACATTATGCCAGTTAACACCAATGACCAATTCTTCCCACTTTTTGAACGTAAATTAAGCCCTGATTTTCCTGAAATGAAACCTTAAATCTTCCTTTACTGATCCAATAACAACTTAAGCTCAATTTATTAAGCATCGGAGGTTTTTAAGAAGATATATCGCGGTAGTTTCTTAAGTTTAATTAAACTTCGGGGATATGTATTATAGAGATATATTCTTATACTTGCTGCAATGCAAAGTGTAGGAATAATGTGGCGTGCTCGGATACAACCAAAGGTCATTTTTAGTTGGAGGTTATTATTATTTTGATACTTATTTATGTTTTGTTACTTTTCAATGAATGATACCATGAAACTTTTATTTTTACCTGAAACCATTAATCTCATACAAAATGGTGCCATAAGAGGATGTTGGTCCCACCAAATAATTAAAAATAAAAATCAAAATTTAACGTCAAAAAGCTTTTCTTTAGTAATTCTTTCTGAACTTGCTGAAATCAGGATATCATGCAATCGAATTAAAATATAATTATAATCCATTCCTCTATGATAAAGAAGAAAGAGATGGGCCGTTTGATCATAATCAAACATTACAAAATTTGACTTTAACATATAGAAAAATGTCTTAGCATAAAATTTGAGTTTTTTTTTTGAGTTTTTCTGCTATAGAGATATCTATATGGTAAAGATAAAAGAAGGGTGTAGCCAGCCTATGAAGCTCCCATTAATATAGGATTTTGAGGTTGATGCATATGGACTTCAGCTTGCATTGCAAAAAAAGGTTGTTTTCATGAATAGATCGATGATCTCTTGGTCATAATTAATGCAACACACCAGTGCTCCGGCCCACCCTCAAATCCATGAACGATGACCTCCAGGTCACGATTTAGGCAACGCTCCACTACTTCAGGCCCATTTGTGGGTCTCCGAAAGGATTTTGCTTATGGGGTTCGAATGCAAAGGGTACGACCGCACTATCCCGTAGGACAAAATGATCATAGGCCTTTATACTCGACATAAGCAGGCCAATGGAAGAGCAGATAGAGTTATACATACAATTAGCCATGGAGGATAGTGACTTTCACCTACACACCTCGATGGATAATAATATATATAACCCAAAATTTCACGAGATTTTCCCCATTCAATACATCAGCTCGAATGAGGTTTATTTGATTGTGGGGATCGGTTTCCTACAGGCGTAAGCCCCCGTAGTTAATTACATCTTAGACCTTGGTTTAAGAAAACTCTCGATTAAGGATGTTAGATTATCTTCTTGAATGGGTTTAGCACGAAGAGAAAAATCTTGGCTTTCCTAATCAAAGGGGAAGAGATGCCCAATTTAGCTTAATCATCCATACGTGGTTCAATCATCATTTGGCCGGTCTAAGGAAGCGAAAATTGGAAAAAAAGAAAGGACGCTGCACCTCAAACATGCATGAGGGAAGAGGGAGGTGGCGTCATCTGTGTGACGCGGATGAGTAGGATTTATAGCTTCTGAAAGGGAAGAAAGCTTACCCACCGATAAGGCGTACAGTGGTACACTTGCACCACTAGCCTTAGATCTTAAATCTATAAAAGATGTAGTATCGTACACACGACACTAACATTTACGGCCTAACTAATGCAACATAAACTTATATCTTGCTTGAAAAAGGAAGCCGGCTAATATCCTAAACAGAACCAATCGTCCTATATGCGTACGAGATAGGAAGACTATCCTAAGGAATCAAGGATTTGTAGTTTAAAAGGTTTCAATCAGGGATTATAATATGCAAAAGAATGTACCTAGCGCTGTGTATGATGCATGAAGCAGATGCATAAGTAAGAATATCCTTAGGTCTACTGATGTACTGCATGTATGTAAGTAAGGTACAATGTAAAACAAAGTGTGCAAAATGCATGCATGACATCCGGAGTACAGAAAAAGTAAATAAACACACCAAGGGTACCCTCCAGGCAAGTTATCCGCATCACACGACAATAAAAAATCATCCTAGCGGTGCCCACTTCGTGTGGGAAAACAACGATGCCCACTTCATGTGGGTAAACAACGATGCCCATGACACAAATAGGTGGCCTACACTATAGGCCTAAATGACCCTAATGGTATCTAAAGCTCACAGAAGGTGGGGGGTATCATACCCAAAACCGGAAGAAAATGGAACATCCTAGCAGTGCCCACTTTGTGTGGGAAAAATAACGATGCATATAGCACAAATGGGTGGGCCTACACTACAGGCCTAAGGTGACCAGAAGGGTTTCTAGGGCTCACGGGGGGGGTGGGGGGGGGGGGGGGGGGGGGGGGGGGAGCTATAGGGCCAAAGCTTCGTTAGTGCACTAATCTACGGTCAGCTACCTAAACATGTTAAAATACCTATTAACAAGATGTGTGTGATGTGTAGCAGATTCGATATATAATTAGGAGTTTACTTTACAAGTTGCAGAAATTATACCTGACTGTGGTGCTGCCACTTAAAAGCTCTTAAGCAAATGATGTCGCTTGATTCTGACTGTGGCGCTGCCACTTAAAAGCTCTTAAACAAATAATGTCGCTTGATTCTTGACCGTGCAAGACCCGATGTACCTTGCAAAGAGGAGAAGGGAGGAGCGGTCCAGGTGCTAGGTTCGGTCCAGGCGGCGTCGGGCGTGGTCCGGGTGTGCGAATCCGGGGACGATCGGTTGGCTACCGTCGGGAGATCGGACGTGCCTTGGGTTCGGTCTCCCCTGACTTACGCGAGAGAGGGAGAGGGAGCGGGAGGTTGGGCTTCTTCGTGCTTCTGCGAACCAGAGAGAGAACATAGAGGGGGAGGGAAAGGGAGCGAATGCCTCGAAGGAGAGAGAGTGGGAGCGTCGGCCTTGGAAGAGAGGGCGACCGAGAGGGGGAGGGAGAGGGAGCAAGGGCTTCGAATCCCTTGTCTTCACCCGTCCCACCCAAGAAAAACGGAGAGAAGTCGTATCCTGCTGCTCAAGGACCGCTCCCCAGCTTCTCTCAGACGCAAAAATGGGCTATGCTCGCTCTGCGCCACTAAGATTCAGCTGAGCATTTGTCTAAACGGAGATGGCACGCGACTGAAACACTGCGATGATGGCAGATTCCAATTTCAGGGAGATCAGCACTGTCGAAACTATTTCCTGATATAGTAAATGGATTCAAATTGTTTAGAAAGTCAAATAGATTTTAGCAGGATTAGATTGCGCTGAATTAGGCCAAATTTGGGTCAGTTTGGATGTGAACTTGATGTAGAACGGGTAGGCGGCTTGAATCCTAAATGTCTTAAAGAGCAAACAAAGGGGTCTAAACAACAACTTTGACTCTTAGAAAATTATGGACAACAATCTTCAATGCTTGAATAAACCTTGGGCAGCTGTTATAAGGCTGCTGGAGGCTTTTGAACAACAATTTCAGACCTCCCGGGGTGTAGGACAGCAGTTGGTGGCTGCAGGAATCTGTGGACAACACATAGTATATAGCAGGAATTGCTAGACAGCAATTTGCTGTGGGTAAAACAGCAACTGGGAGGCAAGTTAATATGGAGAGGGAACGGTGGGATGACAGGGTGGGTTAAGGAATTTTTATTTTCCAAATCAGAGACTTGATTTGGGAAATAAAAATTGGAAATAAAGCTCAGGGAATTCGGCTATGAGCAAAGTGGGGAGAAAAGGAAATAAACGTTAATTACTGCCAAGGTGGATGTGGAGGGAAAATAGGGATTTAATTCCTGAATATGCTCTCAGTTTTGGGAAGGGAATTAACGACTTGGGAAGAATTTATTTCCAAAATCTAATTGCAGGTTTAGGAAATAAATTAGAGCTTGAGCCTTGAACAATTTCGATTAGGAGGGAGGAAAATCAATGCATGAGCCTCGGGAAATTTCTTCTGGCAGCAAGTTACGAGTTTTAAACTCTTCCAAAAATAGATATTGCCATATGGAAAGATTTCCAGAATAAATCTAAGGGGGGCGACAGTAATAGGAGAGAGGGAGGAGATTTAGGGGTTTTGAAATATTTCCAAAAGAGAGACTTAGCTTAAGGAAATAAATCTAAATCCAGGCCCAATGAAGGGGCCGGCGGCATTAATGGGCAAGAGGGAATTTGGGGTGAGGTGTCATGCTTGCATAAATGTAAATTTATGAATAGGAAAGTAATTAACCAAATCCAATTTGAATTTAAAATTCAAATTGATTTAAATTAACAATAAATCATATTTTGAATTTAAATTTCAAATTGATTTCAAGTAAGCACTTTCCAAAAATAGATGAACTAAATTAGGAACGAATTCAAATTTCAAATTAGTAGAATTTGAAAATTTGAAAACCGCCCAAAATTAAATCACCCAAATTAAGTTTAAATTTCATCATGAATGAGATTCAATACTTTTCTAAAATAACTTTCTAATTTAGGAAACTATTTGAAATTCAAAATTCGAATTTCAAAGGATGAAAATATTTTCCTAAATTATTTGCACTCTTTAGGCAAGCATTAATGTGACATTGACTCCTCATTCATGGAGACAAACAAGAGTGGCCGGTGGTGGAGGAGCTAATGGGGGAAGGTGGTCGGCGGCCAAGAGGGTGGGATTGGGTGAAGCTCGGGTGGGGTGAGATTCGGCTGCTATGGTGAGGATTTTAGTGGAGCTTGTTGTGGGGGAAAAGCGGGGAAATTTGGTGGATGAATTAGATGTGACAAAGAAGAATGAGGGTGGTGAGTGAAGACGAAAATACAACGAGAAAACCACGAACCCGGCCATCTCCAAGGTTGGTGGGTGATACGATTTCCCTTTCCAAGGGATCTCAAATCACGAGCCCGGACCCATCCTGCGGCTGGTGAAGACTTCGATTCCTCTCATAGGAATCCCACTAACGCTCTCTCACAAGAAGAACACAAGTGTGGAAAACAATTTTTCATATCCATCATTCATCATCCTTTTACAATAGCTTAAGGCCCTATATATGGGCCACAACATGAGAAAAATTAAAATTACAAAATTGCCGCTTGGGCCACAACACTCAAATAAACTAACCTAGGGGTAAAACATGAAATAACATAAAATAAAAGCTAAAATTCATAAAATAACTCATAAATGACAATTTAAATTAGAGCCGTCGATTTACGACGCCTCCTGTGATAGATGTGTCAAATCTTCGTGCCGATGTCCGCATCATTCTCCCCAGGTGGGAGAATACTCGACTCCGTCGAGTTATCATCACAACTGCTCATGTACAACTCCGGACTGTTATTTGCAAATATTTTCAAACCACCGCGGTTGTCCACAAGGTTAACTTGCTTGTTGCACTTTAGCTCGCCAAGTTCCTTATCCATAGTCAAGGGATCACCTTCCAGACTGTCGCACTTCTTTTCGCATGCAGGAACTTGTTCACTCTCATAGGTGGCTTCACTCGCAATAGGAGCAATCGTGAGTTCTATGGAAGTCACTTCTAGAGCTTCATCAACATTCTCCGTTGTAGGAGTTTTAACGTGGTTGGAAGAAACCATTGTTTCTGTAGGAGTTGTAATGGAATCAACCAATTCATCTTCTTCTTCTAATTCTTCCTTGATCACCTTAGATTTCTCTTTGATTTGCACAGTGAGTGGGAAATTGAAGGCTTCATTGGCGTCCATCCATTTGTCCACTCTATCCACTATCTCTTTGTCTCTTAGTGCCTTCTTTCGATCCTTTGATCAAGGGGTTTTTGCATAAAACGGTGGGTTAGTCCTGCTTCGCTCTAGGTGATCGAATCGTTCGATTGTTTGACGGTGGAGGTCGGCTAGTCCGTTTGATCCTTCTTGAGTTGTTGACTAACGGCGCCCAGTTGACCTACCAACTAATCTAAAGTCCGTCCAAGTTGATCCGAGTCCATGCTCTGATACCAAACTGATGTAGAAACGGGTAGGCTGCTTGGATCCTAAATGTCTTGAAGTGCAAACCAAGGGGTCTAAACAGCAACTTTGACTCTTAGAAAATTCTGGACAGCAATCTCCAATGCTTGAATAAACCTTGGGCAGCTGTTATAAGGCTGCTGGAGGCTTTTGAACAGCAATTTCAGACCTCCCGGGGTGCAGGACAGCAGTTGGTGGCTGCAGGAATCTGTGGACAGGATACAGCAGGAATTGCTGGACAACAATTTTCTGTGGGTAAAACAGCAACTGGGAGGCAAGTTAATATGGAGAGGGAACGGCGGGATGACAGGGTGGGTTAAGGAATTTTTATTTTCCAAATCAGAGACTTGATTTGGGAAATAAAAATTGGAAATAAAGCTCAGGGAATTCGGCTATGATCAAAGTGGGGAGAAAAGGAAATAAATGTTAATTAAGGTGGATGTGGAGGGAAAATAGGGATTTAATTCCCGAATATGCTCTCAGTTTTGGGAAGGGAATTAACGACTAGGGAAGAATTTATTTCCAAAATCTAATTACAGGTTTAGGAAATAAATTAGAGCTTGAGCCTTGAACAATTTCGGTTAGGAGGGAGGAAAATCAATGCATGAGCCTTTGGAAATTTCTTCTGGCAGCAAGTTACGGGTTTTAAACTCTTCCAAAAATAGATATTGCCATATGGAAAGATTTCCGGAATTTGAAAATTTGAAAATCGCCCAAAATTAAATCACCCAAATTAAGTTTGAATTACATCATGAATGAGATTCAATACTTTCCTAAAATAGCTTTCTAATTTAGGAAACTATTTGAAATTCAAAATTCGAATTTCAAAGGATGAAAATAATTTCCTAAATTATTTGCACTCTTTAGGCAAGCATTAAGGTGACATTGACTCCTCATTCATGGAGACAAACAAGAGTGGCCGGCGGTGGAGGAGCTAATGGGGGAAGGTGGTCGGCGGCCAAGAGGGTGGGATCGGGTGAAGCTCGGGTGGGGTGAGATCCGGCGGCTATGGTGAGGATTTTAGTGGAGCTTGTTGTGGGGGAAGAGCGGGGAAATTTGGTGGATGAATTGAATGTGACGAAGAAGAATGAGGGTGGTGAGTGAAGATGAAAAAACAACGAGAAAACCACAAACCTGGCCGTCTCCAAGGTTGGTGGGTGATACGATTTCCCTCTACAAGGGATCTCAAATCACGAGCCCGGATCCATCCTGCGGCTGGTGAAGACTTCGATTCCTCTCATAGGAATCCCACTAACACTCTCTCACAAGAAGAACACAAGTGTGGAAAACAATTTTTCATATCCATCATTCATCATCCTTTTACAATAGCTTAAGGCCTTATATATAGGCCACAACATGAGAATAATCAAAATTATAAAATTGCTCCTTGGGCCACAACACTCAAATAAACTAACCTAGGGGTAAAACAGGAAATAACATAAAATAAAAGCTAAAATTCATAAAATAACTCATAAATGAGAATTTAAATTAGAGCCGTCGATTTACGACGCCTCCTGTGATAGATGCGCCAAATCTTCGTGCCGATGTCCGCATCAGAACTTGATTCAAATTGGCTTGATTTACAAGGGGACTAGGCTCGATCAATTTGATTAAATCAAATTAAACTCAAATTAAGGGACGATTCGGGTCGAATTGAACTCGTCGCAGTCAAAACAAATTACTCAAGTTTGATTGAACATGATCGAGGCTAATTTAAATCAATTCGGATCGATTCGAGTTCGAATTGGGCTCGACGAGGTCTAATTAAGTCGATCGAAGGTGCTCGAGAGCACTCGAACGAAAATCGAGGTCAACACCATTCTCATATCTCCGAAGCATGTTAATGAGAGATATGCTTGGTACATCACTTTCTCAATATTATAGAGACTGATTTCTTTATTTTCTTTATCTTCTTTTTCTTAAAATTTTTTTTTGCTGTGACCAATGGGATCATCCAGTGTTCTAGGAGTAAAATCTTTGAGGAAAACCACTTATTGATTCACTGCTAATATCTAATACACCCATCCTCTAAATCAGGCATGAATAAAATTTGTACTATCACCACATCTGGAGTCAAACTCAGCGCGCCTTTAAAAGCTGTGGCATTCCTTAATATTTTAATTTTTATTTCCTTATTTGAAATCATGTTATTGAATAAGAAACTAGTGACTAAAGTTAACTAAAATGTATGGCTTTCCATATTCAACCAGTAACCATTGCTAAATTATTCTTCTATCTATCAAAGGTTTCTAAAACTCTTAAGACGTTATCCATAAACAAAAACAAAGAAAAGAGTCAAATTGGAAAAAAAAAAAAAGATGATAAAACTAATCTATTACTTGACATTGTTTGGTTATTACTGAAACTTGTTATTATTACTATTTTTAATGCATGCATATTACTGTGCATTCTTTCATTGTTACACTAATGACAATCCTTCTATTAATTATTTGCCTTTTGACAAAAATGAAATTGAATTAAGAGCTCATTTAGCTGCTTGAAGCTAGAAATCATGTTTAAAACATAATTTTGTTAAATCTATAATTTGGTTGGATGAAATTTCAACTTCACTAACCTCTTTAAAATATCATTAAAAGTGAGAACTTTTATTTTGCACTAAAAAAAAAACAAAAAAATCCTCCTAAATCAATTTTTTTTATCTACAAGCATACAAATGAGCCCTAAGCAAAAAAAAGGGGTGAAGTTGCATGCTTAGATATCCCCAAATCCACACGTTTTTTTTTGAACGTACATATTTTGTCTTTTACTTCTCTCTGTAATTCAGGTTATTTTAATTTTATTCATAATTAGAAGTTTAGATGATATCAAAACTGATAATCATACTTTTCATCTAGCTTATAATGCTTAAAGAAGGTATCACTCGTTTGGCTATACGGAGCCTTAGCGAAACTTCTGAGAAGGAAAGAGAGTTCGCATTAAGAATATTGCTTGACTTCTCAGTTGATGAGGAATTTTCATCAAACTTGGCTTTAGAGAAAGGGGCTTTATATCTTCTCACGAGCATCGCTGGAAATTCAAATCAACCTGCATTGTCTAATTTAGCTGAGGATGTGCTCAAAAACATGGAAAAAGTTGAAGGAAATATTGAATATCTATCTAAAGAAGGAAGATATCAACCATTGCTTAGTCGACTTTGTGAAGGTATGCCCTAAAATTTCTAGTAATTTGTCTTTTAAGGTTTTACATGTATTGGAACGTGTTCATTTGTAATGTAGAATATAAAGTTGAATTCAGTAGGAAATAAGATCTATCCTTGAATCGATTCATTATTTTTTAGCAATTATGTGTGATTCATCATTTATATTAAAAGAATACATTTAATTTCATAAAGGAGGTTTGAGCTCCTCCCATATTTTAGGGAAATCCCCATTCACTGAAAACAAAAAGCTTGAAAAAAGGATTCGTGGCATTCCTTACTTTTTGTGTGAATAGATTACAATGGAATAGAACGCTACTTTCTCCTGCTTTCTTGACTTTAAAGGGAACAAAAGCTTTGCTTAAGGCTTCGATTACAGCAATAAAAATCTTCTTAAAGCCTCACTGGCAATGAAAGTATTTCTTAAGGCCTGTCCTATTCTTTCGGTTAAAATCTTGCATAATTAAGCAGTATTCGAGATAGTACAATTTCTTAAAGTGGTTTATTAACCCTTTATAACCACCAGTAATTTTTGCGCCAAGAAAATCATTAGGAATGATGGATTTTTCAATTTTCTTTATTACATTAAGCTGTAGCATATAGTTTAAGGATTCAAAATCATTGAGTCATTTTCATGTCCTTGAACATCATTTGCAATTTGTTTTTTTTTATTTGCTTGATTCTTGCCTCAATGATTGGTTCAAATGTTTAAGTTTGAAATTCATGTAACCTTTCTGTTCATTTGAGCCATGGATGAATAAACATTTATATTTAATTTTGTTTCAACTGTTAAACTTTCAGAAGAAATCAAAACATTTTCTTAACTATTGCTGCAATAATCACTTAAAAACTCAACCTTTCCCTTATTAACCTGCTATGATTGGCATGGGCAGTTGTACACTTTGTAAACAACTAAAAAAGTAGGTGTCATCCTAGCAACAAAGTTCAAGGAATTTAACTTTTCAGATAGATTTTTAAGTATTTATTATTAATTAATTTATTTATTTATTGGCTTCAATCGATTCCTATGCGCCATCATTATCATGGCTAAGTTTTGTAACAACTTGTGGGCTGGGTTTGATAAAAACCTTCTTCAGATTTGAACCCTACTAGTTTAGCTGCATCTCTTTTTAGCATCTTTGGGCTAAGGGCTTGATCAAATCTCCTAACCCTTTTGTTTGAAATATAGGTTCTGAAGATGTTAAAATGGAGGTTGTGAAACTTTTGGGGAAGATGAATTTGACAAACAGCGGCAAAAACTACATTGCTAGGAAAGGAGGTAGAGTTTTGGTAGGCATGCTTTATTCCGATGTTGAAGGAATGGAACCAAACTTGCAAGCGCTTTGCAATCTAGCATCACTTGGTGATAATGCTGCCGTCCTTGTCAGTCAGGGTCTGCTCCCAGCACTTACAAATATTCTCTTTACAAAACAGTTGGGTGATTCTTCGAAGGAGTTGGCAGCATTAACAATTGCCAAAATTGTATCGAATCCTGGGCACTGGGAGTCATCATTTGCTGACAATGAAGGTCATGAAATGCAGTCAGCTTTCATCATCCATAAACTTCTGGGACTTTTAGACCTTGTGTCAAGCAAATTTCAAGCTGCTATTCTTCTTACGCTTTGTGGAGTCACAACTTCTCCAAAAGCCTCAGGTATGCTTGATCGCTAAGTAGTTAATGTCTTGAAAATTCTTTAGACATTAAATGTGTTTTGACATATTCATAGACTGTTTTTAGTTTAAGAAGTAAATCTGGTTCCATGTTCTTCCTCTCAAAAACTTTGGTGGATACTTGAGCTAGGCTATTAGACATTTAATTAATGAATATGGCCTGCATAATATTCTCAAAATCATGAGCTTAATTTTACGCAAAAAAGTATAAATATGATGACTTTATATTCCCAAGTTTATTATTGTAATTGGTTCTGAATTATAAAGATGAAAGTTTAGAGGTCCCTCTCCAAGATGCCTAGAATCTCCCACTCCACCTGATATAAAATTGCCAAACCTCCACAAAAATGCCATTATCAAGGGCTTCAATCTGAATGGCCTTAAGGTTCATTGGTTTCAATGAACTCAGATGGATAATTTCAAGCAAAAGACATTGCCAAACCAAGTTAGTGCTATTGAAGAACTCTGCTTTACCAAAGGCTTGATTAGCTTGAAAGGAAAACCACATTGAAAAATAATGGAAAGAACTTTATACCAATAGCGGAAATGTATAAATTACAAGCCAGTTAATGCAAACGTAACTGAAGTAATAAACAAACTTAAGGTAAGCCTGACTGTTAACTACTTAAGAACTTAGAAACAATAATATGAAGGTACTGGAGGAAATGTTTTGATGTGCAGCGCCTGAAACACACATAAGCATGCGAAAGATAACTAAATTACAAAAATGGTTGAAAAAAGCTTTATAACATAAGTGGAAATATATAAAACAAGCCTGAAGGGCTATTCAATTCGTGTTGTTTAAGGAGGAAAATTAAAGCTGCATTGTACTAAGGGTAAATTGTTTAATGAACCACGAGAATTGTAGCACACAGTAGACAAAAATTTATAATAATCATCAAGTTGGAATGGCGCTAGTTTGGTGTTCATGACCTAATAAGAAGATTAGCTTTGTATTTTTGTTTTAATCAGGTGTTCTATTTTGTTTTATACTAGGGAGTTATGAGTGAAATGATAAATAGTTAAGTTTTTTTTAATAATTTTAAAACGTAATTTTATAATTAGAAAATGATATCAGCGCAACATGGGCAATTAACGAAAATTATCAGAGGAAAAAAAAATATTTAACATAAAATAAAGATAGCATGGATCACAAGCATGCATTATAATTTTAAAAATGCTCATTTGGACCGCCTTATTCGAAGCCTTATGAAAATAAGAGAGTGACTTTAAATTTCTTTATTATTTTGACACCGTCTGTTGAACAAGATATGAACTCTTATATCCACTAGCGCGTCATCATTTAGAATGTTCCCATCATACTTGAAAGGATGCTATAAATTATGATTAGCTATAGATCCACTAGCTTCGTCAATAGGTAGGTGATGAGCAAGTTCAGATTAGTAGGATTAGTGATGCGGACATTTAACCGACCATGTCTATCCGAGGAGCTGAAGATCAACGGCTGTCATCGTCCCACGTTATCTTATATTTTATTTGTAATTTTTAAATTTTTATTATAAATTTTTCGCTTTTACCCTCACTTAAGAGGGTCGTCCTATGTAAGCCATAGAGGCATATGTGTCTTATTTTAGTTTCTTAGGCCTATATATAGAGGCTCTTTCTTGTGTAATGGGATGATGAATTGTTAATGAAATTTTATTCTACTTGTTTGATCTCTTAGTGAGTTCATGAGAGGAGAAGGATCTCTTTGTGAGTTCAGAGATTACCAAGATCTCTTTGTGAGTTCTTGAGGAAGTGGCGCTTGTAGATCTCTTTGTGAGTTATATTGGAGGTGTTGCTCGAGGTGTGTAGCTCCGGATTTTCTTTTTCCTAAACCCAATTTATTTCTTCTCTACCTAACCAAACTCTCTTCCTCCCAAATTCCCTTCCACCGGCCCCCATAATTCCACCGCCGGCCACCCCAGGCCGATCCCGCCACCGGCAGCTCCGCCAGCCTCCTTGGGACTCCAACCCTCCACCCGCCTCCAACCCTCCACCCGCCGGCCCTTTCTCCATCACTCCATCATATTTGAAATTCAAATTTCGAATTTCAAATTCTTTCCATATAGGGAATCCCAAATTAGGAAAGTTTTTTTTATGAATCCAATTTCAACATAAATCAAATTGGAGTTATTATTTTTCTTTCCTAATATTCACTACATGTTTGGAAACTCCTCTACCCCCCTCCCTCACCCAACCCACATGTTTGAAATTCAAATTTCAAAAGGGCATTAATTGCTTCCCTAAAATAAGGCCAAGTAATTAAGAAAGCTATTAATTGAATTTCAAATTCAAATTTGAAATACAAAAGCTTTCCAAATACTATCACTTAAATTAGGAAACCCCTCTTTGAAATAAAATCTGAATTTTAATTCAGATTTTTTTAATGCTTTGAATAATGTGTGGGCCCCACTTAGTTTGCCATAATTCCCCTCTCCCCTCTCTCTCTATGGCCGGCCCCTCTCCATGAGCTTTCTCTCTCCAATTTCATTAATATCCCCCTCATTAAGCCTCCCTAAGTACCTCCCACAATTCCCTCTCATCCAATTTAATTATCCCCATTAAAATTTGAATTTGAATTTAAATTCAAATTCATCCCGCCAATTCCACTTAATCTGAAAATTAATTTCAAATTTTCATTCTCTCTCCCCCAAATTGATTTGGGATTTAATTAATCTTGTCACTTAGGCAAGTAAATTAATCTCAAGTCTATTTCCCATTGTTATTCCCAAATTTTCCTGCTATACTCTTTCAATTTCTGTATCCAGAAAGCCGGAACGCAGTAGTTCTTCATGCCAAACTGCTGTCCAGAATTTTCTGGACAGATTTTATGCACTGTCCTGAGATCCGATCACCCCTAGAGCTGCTGCCAAGGTTCATAAGGTCAAGGCGTGCTGTCCAAACTTTCGTACCAGCTGCTTGAAGGTTTTGGTTCGCTGTCCAGGGAAGTTTGCACATGTTTTCTTGCTGTCCAGCCATTTGGAAGGACTTCAAATGCTGCCCGGACGTTCTAGGTTGCTGATCACATGTTCAGGAAGGTTCTTAAATGCCACATACTTCCTCCCAAGCCTTCCTACAGTCACGGGAACTCCGTATTTTCTGATTACTTGGATCATCCTTGCATGTAAGTTTTACATCAATTAGTATCCATTATATTATTAGCAAGTGATGTAGAAAATATAATTGTATGACTAGCAATGATAGGCACAGTAGTTTCAGCTTCCAAAGAAAAATCAATTGATCCCTAATTTTGAATGCAAACCTAAGCTGAAGAAGGGGCAACAACCATTGGGAGAATGAATGATGTGACCATCTTGGTGTACCTCGAGCCTAAACGTTTATTTTCCTTAAATTTGAATGAACATTGAAGTAATCAGAATAATTGTGACTAAAGATCTTGTTGAAGGAGCAGTAGTGAGAGATGCTTACAAATTTAATCTTTTAATAATAACCACAAGATTGTGTGCCAATCCACACATTCTTTTGAAGTGAAAAACAACCTCTATTTCTATGAGGATTTTGATCACTGTGGCCTAAAAGGACGTTTAGGCAGCTTTCACTCATAAATGTCTATATATATATATATATCAAATAGTGTAAAGCGGATTGATTAAATTAATGATAATGTAACCTAGGAAAAGCTATCCATATAGGGGTGATAGGTGGTTCCTTGGAAGTGTCAAAAATGGGAAAACCACTTTAGCATTCACATTATAAAGTCATTGACAGTAGGTATGGCGAGAGAAGAGTCTAATTTAATTTGATTAAAAGAAAGTCTTATAATGATATTAAAATGTTCAATATGACCAGCTAAATATTCACTAAGTAACTTAAATCTAATATGAGTTTGAGAATGATGTCCTATTGGGTTGACCAACCTTGAATTTGCTCATAATAGAGAAAAATGGTGGAGCAAATTCATATATCTCAACATTAGTGAAAATTAGCATAATTTTGCCTTGGAAAGTAGAAGCTTGCTTGTGTAAATGTGTATTTGAGACTTGGTGAAAAAATAATGGGAATTGGGAAGAAGAATTATGAATTCGATAAACTACTTGCCACATATGCAAAAGAATGAGAGGTGCAAGTAATATGAGGAGTTGTGTGATGACTTGATAGACTGGAGCGGGGGGCGGTGATAGTGTCTCCAAGGGAACAACAAAATCCCTAGGATCAGCCAAGAAGGGAGACTGCTAAGGAGGAGTTGGGAGTAAGGAGAGATACCTAAGCAGTGTAGCCCAATGGAGGCGAGGTCATGAGTAGAGTAGACCTAGAATAAAGGAAATGTGAATGTTGTCAGGAGGGGAGGGTGACGGTCTTTGAGTGAAAGGAGAGTCGGTCCGCAACCCTAGATGATTTGATTACAACCATTAGAGGTAGGTTATTGGAGATTAGGAAGCATTGGAGTCTTGCCTAGGGGTGCGAGGCAAGATGTATCCCTGCACGGATCACTCGACCCTAAAGAACCAAGAAGTGAAGAAGCGAAATATCTCTGCAATCAATGAAGTGCAATGCCTTACATGAGCCATGAGGATGAGTGGCTCAACACTCATGTATTTTTTAGTATTTCATAACCTTAACTCATATTATTATTTATATCAATAAAAATATTTTTTTGTATTACCATGCTTACCTTCAACACTACATCGTATTCTTTAGGACCATCATATTTGCATTTAACATCACTTTGCTTGTCTCTAACACCTTTTGGCGGTGGTATAGTGACTATTTTTATAATCCATGACATAGAAATGTTATCTTTGTGTGGAATCACTTTTTTTCCTTCTCTATGGCCTTTATTTCTTAGTTCCCATTTTTTCTTTATTTTTTTTGAAATCTTTTCATCTTTTATAATCCTTGGCATCAAATGATGAAATGCTAACACATTCTTAGAAATATGAATTGATTTGCCTAATATTAGGGATTAGTTATAGTAAGTATTTGTAGAAAAGTAGGCTCCAACCTGGTAATCTCTCAGTTGGATATAGAACTTTAATGTAAGAATATAGAAATTAACTTTGTATGGCATTTTTACATTATTAGTTCTTTAAATATATCATTGTTGTTTTTGGCGATCTTATGATTTTGAACATTCCAAAATCTTTAATCAAAATTGCCAACGAAATATCCAATGAGATAATATTTTTAAAATTTAGGATTTAGCTTATTGATATATGCATAAGAAAGTCATAAAAAACTTTAACGAAAAAGGTTTATCCTTTTGCTACTCCAAGCTTCTTTAGGTTGCTCATAGTACATGTGAATTATGGTCCTTTAATTGGATAAGCAATAGTTCTTATGTCATCTTCCCAATTGTACTACGCTATCTTTCATATAAGCACATTCTGCTAACTCTTTTTCATTTAGAATCATGTTCATGTTCTAAAAAAATCTCATTATGCTGTGGTGTTCTCGGAACTTTTCCCTCCATATGGTTCTCATTAGCCACGCAAAAACTCTTTGATCATGCTCTTCTACATTGACTGTATTTAGGAATTTGATTTTTGTAAGAGATTCTTTTTCTACCACGCTCTTCCACCTTTTAGAAGTTTAACGATAAAAAAGTTAATTTTTTAGAAAATAAATCATATACCTTTTTAGTGGAGTTATCAATGAAGGTAATATGGTTAAGTGATCTAATAAGGTATGCCATATGGAACGGTCCCCATATGCCAATTTTATAAGCTTCAATTTTGGAATTTTAGGTTCTTTTCCATCTTTTTAAAACCAAACATTTACTTTCCCAAGTTACCATGCTCATAAAAATCAAAATCCAAATATATCAAATTTAAATGTTGAATCCTCGTACTTCTCTTACTCATGCTCTAACCTTTGATGCCATGCGTATGAATGTTCGAGTATGTTGTTTTTTCTTTTGTTCTTAATGCCATAAGTATATATAGTCTAGCATTTTCCTGCCATTTGTTATCACCATGGTACTCTCGATTACCTTTCAAGTGAAATTATTAAAGGAAGACTTACTTCCTTCTTTCATCAGGTTATATAATGGAGATCAAAATCCTCTCTAAGCCTAAAATGTCTAATTTTGTGAAGATTCCATTTGTTTTTATTGGTGGTTTTGAATTAAAGATTATTGATTTCTAAATTATTTTTCAGTTTCCTGTAGAGTAAGGAGGCATAGAGGTTGTTTGGTTTGATTAAAAATAAGCATAAAGTATTTCAAATGCAGGGGTTTTAATAATTTTTATGTTTGGTTTGATGAAAAAGGAATGCAGAATAAAATTTGGGCGAATCTAAATTCACTCCGTAGTTTATTTATTTTTTAATATTCAAAACTCACACATTTTTTGTTGAATTCCAACACATTATAAGATGGCTTCACTTTTTCCACAAGCCGCCATTGCTGCTACCGCCACTGCTGCTACCGCCACCATCGGTTCCCCATGGTCGCCGTCGCTTGCCACTGCCGCTCGCTGTTGACCGTAGCAGCAGCTCACAGTCTGTTGCTTTCCGTTTGCCATTGTTGCCCTCCCCATTTTCGCAGTCCATTGACCACCACTATTGTTTTGCTTTATATTACATTCATTTACTTCAAATCAAACAAAAATAAGGAATCACATGCATTTGTTATACACTCATTCAAATAATTCTAAATATTTCAAATATATTATATTTCTTTCACACTCTATCCATTTACTATGTATTTATTTTTCAACAAAACAAACAATCACGTGATCTCTTAATATGTGCTGGAGCGGAAATTGTCTCTCTAGTTTAGGATCCAGGGCTCCATGGGATTATGAGCATTGAGAATTAATTCGTCCTAAATCACTTTTTTGGATGCATTAGCTGATAAAATGTTAGATTTCTTTTTTTTTTCATGGATGTGATTGTTAATCACAATGGGTTTTGAAACTACAGAAACCTCCTGTGTATAATGATATTCTTGCACAAAATAAGTCAAAATAATCTCAAAATTTAAACTGTGCTCTCGATCTCCAAGCCCAAATGAGCCCTCATATCATTCAAACTTTGTTACATGTTTTTCATTAATTTCTATTGACTTGACTTTTTGGCAAGCTACTTATATTGATGTAATGTCCACGTAATGATTTTTTTTTAATTACCGCTTTGGCTTTCTATCATTTTTTGTCCTTTTCATATTGAATTTTTTCTTAGTGCAGATACGGCAGCCACACATATAAAAAGTGGCAATGGCATAAAAACAGTCCTGCAATTTCTTGAGCATTCTGATGAGCCATGTAGAGCTCATTCTTATAAGCTTCTGAGTCTATTATCAGAAAAAATGGGGCAATTTACTCTTGAAGAGTTCAGGGCTTCAGGAAAACTTTCATTTCTCAAAGAAATATTACTGAATGCTCAATGCCCACTTGGTGAAAAAACTGATATTGCTTGTATCCTTTCAAACCTTCCAGTTTCGGACAGTGAGGTGATAAACATCTTAGGTCCAGATCTTCTGATATGGTCAGCCAGTCAGGTTAAGATGCAGAGTTCCAATTCTCTTGGAAAAAACTCCAAGGACTCTAGAAACATGATAGAAGGTCTTCTCAGTCTCCTTCTACACTATGCAAGGAATCATGACCCAAAAATAATATCCCTAATTCAAGAAACTCACTTCATGGCCATTTTCCTGGAACAACTCAATAACCATTCAAGTCACAGAGCAAAACGTCTTGGAGCTCTTGGTTTGAAGTACCTATCTGAATCAGCTAGCCTTTCATCTGCAAGTAGAGACTCAGAACTTCAAGCTCCTACTGGGTGCTTCGCTCACTTTGTCTTGCTTTGTGGCAAGCCTCCTATGGTTCCTACCCAATGCCCGTTTCATAGTGTGGTGTGCACTGATGGTAGTTCTTTCTGCCTTCTGAAAGCAAATGCAATCAAGGAGCTGATTGATCTGATGGATGATGACAACGTTGACGTGCAGTTAGCAGCTGTTGAAGCGCTTTTAACACTTATTCCAAACACTCAGACTTCTGAAAAAGCCGCTGAAAAGCTAAAGGAGCTTGGCCTTTTCAAGGAGGCAATTCTTCTTTTCAAAGGACTTGCTCCAGGAGAGCTTCAGGAAAGAGTGGCGTTGATGTTGGACAGATTTTTGCAAAAGAAGAAACTGGCTGAACTGTGCTTTACGGATTCAGATCTGGTCAAGGCATTGGTAGAAGCACTCAAGCATGGAACTGCAAACACAAGAGCCTATGCTCAGGATGCCCTTCAAAATTTAAATCAAATATCAGGCATTGGGGATAGATTCTCAAGATGAAGCCATCAAAGTAAAGCCAACAAGATGTAAATTTTGCACTCTCAGTCCTCGTTTGGGACGGCTTTCTTGCTGCTTCTTCTTAAAGCAGCTCTTTAATACAAAAATTAAAAATTTTGTACTATAAAGCTATTTTAAGAAGCAGTAAGAAAGCCGTCTCAAACGAAACCTCAGTCTCAGTTCAGAACTAAAAATGAAAATGATAATGGCGTCTGGTTGCAGCAATGTGTGAAGATTTTGCTCAAAAGTAGATATCTGATTTTCTGCTGGGTAGAGATGTAAGGATGGAGAAGATTATTTTATGGTGCAGTTTAGTATTTAATTTGTATATTTTTGTTCATCTGAAATAAACAATGTTTAGGAATATTAATAAGTTTGAGAGAGAAGCTCTCAATTTGGGCGAATTATTACTTCTGGTCACCGGACGTCCGGACATCCAATCCAGACGCGCCACGTCACCCAAATACACCGGGGCCCGGTGTATTTGGGTGACGTGGCACGTCTTGATTGGATGTCCGGATGAATCCGGACACCGGACGTAATAATTTGCCCTTAATTTGAGGAGTCCATGGAGAGACTAATCTTGTTTCATTGCTAATATGGCGTTGCTGGCAATTGTAAAGATTCTTACCTGTAAGAAAGTAGCCCAGCTATCATTTTCAATCTGTTAGCAGTTAAAAGTTCCTATAAGAAATTCTTCTTTATAATATATTGTGATTACAATTCTGCTTCTCTCATCTAACTTTTTATTTGTTCTTTCTAATTCTTTGTGTGTTGGGTTTATAAGCTTATTGCACTTTAAAGATAGAAAAATAGGTCATTTTATGATTGTTGATTGAGAAAAATAACAAAAAGGTTTTGGATTATTAATATGGGATTATTTTTAATTATTCAATTTAGGCATTTGCGCTTCAAATTTGATTATTTTGGATCAGATTTGAATGGTCAACGAATTATGATTTCGTTTGGAATAGCTTCTGATAATTGTTTTTTTGCTCCTAAAAAAACTTGTATTAAAAAATATCGTTGAAAACAAAAAAAATTATCTCAAATGAAGCATTCTTTGCAATCTCCCCAATTTTATAATTATATGAATAATGTTTTAGTTATCTAAATGGTATCAATAAATAAACAATAAGAAAATGGGTGTGCCTCAATATTTAAATATAGTTGGTAAATATCACAAGCAAGTGTCATTCAAAAGTAATAATTGGAAACTCTTATACTACAATTCTATATAATATGAACAATAGATAAGAAAAGTCATAGACAAGAGTATTACCTTACATGAATGTAGATGTGCAATATATATGATGCTAATAAATGATTGATCAATGAATGAGTAAAATTAACATGATCTTAGCTAGCTATAATAATACATAAACTTGTAACAAGAAATGCAATCAACAAGTAATTATTTGGGTTGATATCAAAATATGTTAATGTGACGTCTTAAGATCTAAATAGGAAGAATTGTCTATTTTACCTTTGATTAATCTATCAGAGCTTCTATAAATTTATTCATTATAAATCAGTCTAACGGAAGCAACTAAGAATCATCTACATCAAAATCTTTCAATATATATTGTTTCATCAAAATCTGATTTACAATAGCCATGTGATCATTTATATCATTGATTCATAAGCTCTTGACTATAAAAGAATAAAACAAAATATAAGAAATCAAAAGAAAGACTTGAATTTCCATGCAATCACACTCCACAAAGTTCTAACTCATTCCCTAACCTGAAATATATGAAATCCATAATAATGAACTTCAAAGCCCGATAGGTTACTCAAATCTATCAAAATATTCAATGCAAGGCAATGAAATCAATATGCTATCTACCATTCAATCAATGAATGACATAAGTCAACATGATAAGTAAATAATGAAAAGTTAGGAATAATATATCACTAAAATCCATAAAAAAATCTAGAAAATTGTAACAATTATTCTATATTATCATTATGCTATTTTGATGAATCATGCGAGTACATGTGTCGTATCAATATGCTATATATATAATATTATCATATGCTTGATGTATCAATATATTTAATCTGTAAAGTCATGAATTCTCCACTATGATGCATGGACACGGACACGGCAACACGGACACGACACGACACATACACGGGACACGGCTTTTTTTTTAAAATATAGGACACGGATACGGCACGGACACGGCGATACATTTTTTATATAGTGTATATATATTAATGTAATATCATATTAAAAATGACAAACAATAATAAATGAATGACATGATAACTTGTCTAACTTATAATATGAAATATTTAGTACAAAGTATCTAATACAATCACAAAAATATAAGCAAATAATCACTTACTACAACATCAAGCATTCAAGCTTCAACTACTAGGATTAGCTTTAGAGGTTTGTTTTTGGCCTTCAATATCATCATCATTGAATATCACTGCTTTCAACTCTGATTCAACAAGAGAAAGATTTGTAATTGT